TAATTTCTCTGTAATGTCCACGAGAAAACCAAAATCTCTAAGCCAGATTGAATTTTCTAGTTCCGGAGTCGGTTCATCGCGTTGTTTGAAAAATTTAACTATGCCAGATAGGACATCATTAAAACGATTCAGCGCCCGTCCTCTACTTAACCATCGGACTTCAGAATGAAGGAGTAGGTCCCCGTATTGACAGTCAACTTCATCGGCCAAGGTTTTGAATATTCTTCTTTGTAACGCTTGAGCTCTAATCTTGTTTTTTTACCACCAGTTTCATAACGTTGTTTAGTTTCAGGAAATTTCCACATAATGCTTGCTGATGGATAATGCAGTGGTAACAGAGAAATTGCGGAAAAGTTTAATCTTTACGACATAACGCCACCAGACCCTTATCACAATCCACCATAGCTGGAGCGCCATCGGTTGTCAAGCCTACCATTTTCGATATTGGAATTTTTAAATGAGAAAACAACTCCTGTCCAGTAGTGTGCCCTTTCAGTGGAATAAACTTCAAAAGATCTTCTTTAATCGTAAAATCACTAAAAACCATCCTGACGAACACGGCCATCTGGGCAGTGTTAACGACATCTGTTGATTCATCCAGTTGAAGTGAAAAATAAACACAGTTATCTAAGTCAGTTCTTAACTGTAAAAAAATATCATTGCTCATTACTTCTACACGTCTCATCACTGTATTAGCAGAAAGTTGCATAGATTTTATAGCTGAAACTATCTCGTCTTCATTTCTAAAGTTGGCAAATAGCGAATCAGCAGCTTCTAAAAACGCCTGTTTTATCATTTCCCCGTCTTCATAAGGTTTCTTTTTTTGTGCAATTATCTGGGACACACGGTACGATGCTTCAGTTGTAGCCTTATTTTTGTCGACTGTTCTTAAAAATATTGATTGTTATCCAATTAACTGCTTTTTTGACTGTTTCAGTTTCTCCTTTCTGGCGGCATGATGTAGTGGGAATGATTTTTCAAAATTAGAATGTACAGTTTTATGTCTCTCAATATTTCCTTTTTTAGCAACGGAGACCGAAGTATTACATAACAAACACACATTTTTATCTTTAACTTCTGTAAAAAGTATTGTTCTTCCCATTCCGAATGAAAGTGGTATGTCTTTACCTTCTTACAACTGCTTGCCATAATATTATTTTTTGTTGTTCTCTACTAACCCAACCGCTGGACGTTGGTTACGCGTTCAGTTTTAAACTAAGCGCAATGTCGCCGCGCAGTGCGTATTTATCCCGTTCAAAGCAATCCTGATCGTTTTCGAACACTAACGCGCTGGTCCGGCTGGTCGGTTCTAGCCGATTCTAGCTTGATGGCGTCAGCGGCAGATCGCTCACCGCAACGTTGCCGCTGTTTATGTTTAATATTATGACAATTAGATTTTTTTGTGGAATTTTCGGAAGCTTCTCTGATATTTGCAGTTTGTATTTTTTAAATTAAAATCGTTGTGAGAGCTACCCGAATTGCCTCCGCGAGCTACCGGTAGCTCGCGATCGACAGGTTGGCGACCACTGAATCTAATCGATCTGACGCAAGTGGTAGACATGTTGTACTATGGATGACTCATCATCATAGTGATTAAAATTTGTTAATAATTTGGATGTTTTATGTGTTAATTTAAACTTTTATCAAGCGTATATTTTGTAGATATTTTTAAAAAGTGTTTAGTGTTTTAGAATTTATTTAGTATTAATGTTAATTTTTAATTTTCCGCGTTAAAACACAAACAAGTCAATATGGCCAGTTGTTCGTCTTGTAGATATAGCAGCACAACTAAAAGTAGAAAGGAATAATCTACATTTCATAAGCAAGTATTTTGTTCCCTCAATTTTCAAACACATTAAAGATTTTTAAAATTTTTAATGTTTTAAATTTGTAAACAAACATGGTAAGTGCGTCTGCGATCAACTGTGCTCATAGGCGTAGTCTCATGTTTTATAGGGTATACATACTTTTATTTAAACAATTCTTTTATGCAATTTTAAGATATTTATGTAATTGTTAAAATAAATAAATTATTGTTTAATTTAGATTTATAAATTGATTGCAAGTAAACAATTTTCAGATTTCTTAAAGATTCTAGATTTACAAATTATATAAATTAATCCCAGGTAGACAATTTTCAGATTTCCTAAAGATTCTCAAAAAACAAAGTTATGGCTTGAGGAGTCCATGCAACAAACAAATTGTGAGCGAAAATATCTTAATTTTTTGTGTTCACGCCATAAGACTTCTACCACCAGTTGTTCCAACAATAAAAGTGGTCCGGTTGAAGTTTATAAGTAAATAAATTATTTACTAATTTACAGATTGAAAATTATAAAATTAATAATTCATATATAACTTTTTAATTTAAATTATTTAACATGATTATTAATTCAATAATTGAAAAATTAGAACAGTTCTGAATGTTTATTGCAGGAGTTTCAGTATATTTTAACAAATTTTCATTCAATATTTGTAGTAACCACGATACACAAAATTAGTTCAACGGCAACAAACAGCAGCTGCGCAAAGACCAATTAATGTCTCCAAAATGACTGATAACACGGTTACCATCCATAGTTTCATGGTTGGTGTGGCATGTTGCTTCATCCTGCTGGAATAAAGGTCGAAATCGTCTTTGCGGTGTAACTGACCAGTTCGTGTTACTTTAAATTCTATACTTACTGTATTTGGCCTTTTTCCTCTAGTAGTAGAAATAATTGTCGAATTACTTAATTGATAATTTATATAACCACGTTGTGATAATTTTAATTAAGATAAACCAGGATTCGATGCAAAGTTTGGTGCAAATTGATAAATAAAATCATACAAATTTATAAATTTAATCACTTTTACTTTTAATACTTTAAATGTGATGCAATAATTAGCAAAGTATATTACAGTTGGTACTATTTACTGAGATCCAGCGTTACCAGTGTCAGTGCTAAGTACTGAAATCAGTGCTTTTTGGCCATTATCAGTACCTCAGTGCTACTTTTTATGCTTCAGTACATTTTTCCGTTTAAGGCAAATAGTTTGCGGTAAAGTTTAAAAAAAAAATATTGTTTTGTTTTCACTCGATCTAAAAAAATTTACTCTACATGCTTTGCTCCTCTATAAATGTTATGATCTATTTTTGTTTGTAATTTTCAAAGGTCCATTTATTTGTACCCCTAGTTATTAAGAAATAAGCAAATCTTAAAATGATAATTCTCCTTAGATTAGAGAGTTATTGCAAGTTCACTTAAGGTCAGTCACTATTAGTGCCGCTCTTATTTTGACATCTGAGCATGCGCAGATCACTAACTTTAATAAAGATTTTGCCTGTCCTTAATAGAGAGATATTGCAAATTTCTATAAAGCCAGCCACTAATAGTGACATCGTAATTAGAGTCAAATAAATTCCATGCTAAAGTCAGACTTATTGCAAACCTAAAATTTTGACATTAGAATCCTCGTCTTTATACTTATTTCTAACCTTATAGGGTTTAAATGACGATTATATTAAATATTTAATATTAAAAACTTCTAACGGATACGAATGTCGCCGAGCGCATCCGAAAGCTATAAAGTCGCCACTACCTGCTGCCCTTAAACATCTACAATTAAGGACAGGAACAATCCTTAATAAAGTCAGTTTTAGAACATAAACATCTGCGCTTGCTTTGATGTCAAAATAAGAGCAGCACTAATAGTGACTGACCTTAAGTGAACTTGCAATAACTCTCTTATTAAGGACTGGCACAATCTTTATTAAAGTTAGTGATCTGCGCATGCTCAGATGTCAAAATAAGAGCGGCACTAATAGTGACAGATCTTAACTGAACTTGCAATAACTCTCTATTGTCATTTTAAGTTTCGCTTATTTCCTAACTACTAGCGGTGCGAAATGCCCAAAATTATATGTGTCCAATCTGCTTGACTTTAGAGTTTAGAGATATATCTTATTATATTACATGTAACAATAGAAATTAAGTGAGGCAGAAACTTGAAAATTCAGTAAACTCAAAACTTAATATGTGAGCATAATATATCCCCTGTAGTAATGTTACTGGAAATAATGGGATACAAGAAATGACTCTAAGTTACGCCCAGGCCAGTCACGAAGGTTCTGGCGCTAGATCACACAATTTTTGACAATGACAACTGATTTGTGCGTTTCGTAATTAATTTCATGTTTCGTAATCGTTAAATAAATGCAAATGGCACTCGTATGTCAAATTATGTTTTTTAAACGTCATTATGTGCTTGTCATTTCAGATGGAGCAACTGTCAGTACTTTTTATTTTTAGTCAATGCCGTTTTCAGTATCACTACAGTACTTTTATTTTTCTATTGCTGGCAACGCTGCTGAGATCTCACCTGAGTCTCGCTCAAACGCGGACCAAGTTCATTTATTATCAAGCTATATTTTATCTAGCCTAATGACGATCGGAGTTAACGAACAGCGTCAATTCGCCAGTTGGGTAACTTACTATGTTGATGTTTATATTTATATTTAGCTTGATTTTATACTAGATATACACAGAATTGTACCATCTTAGATAATTATTTTGACGATCATAGAGGTGATGGCTAACGGAGGTAACGAACAGCGTCAGTTGGCCAGTTGGTTACCTAACTGTGTTGATTTTCACATATACTTTATGTTTCAAATCTATTAGAATGGGTGGCTTAATATAGGTGGCTCCCTTGAGCTAACTAACAATTTCTATTCACCAGTTGGTCAAGCGTTAAAGAAGCGGATGGTCACTTGCCTTTAACTCTTGAGTGAGTTGCACCTGATAAACAAATAATCCGAGGTCTTTATGAAATATTCTCCCCAGAGAAGTGCAACTGATATTTAGTTGTGCTTTGAGGTTCTTTGGTATTCACGCACACTCTGGGCGACAGCAAGAGTTCTTTCCGCTGTACGTATGACACGAGCGTGCGGAATTCTTTTGTTATCCACAAGTTTGCCAGTTTCATGATAATTAACGTAATTATTTTTTTGTTTTTAGTGGCTGTGGTGGTGGCATTCTTCATCTGTTGGGCACCGTTTCATGCGCAGCGACTGTTGGCCATTTACGGGGGTAGCGAAGATACCGAAAAAACTTCCTACATGATCTTGACCTTCCAGATTTTGACGTACATTAGCGGAATTTTTTATTACCTATCGACCACTGTGAATCCCCTCCTGTACCACATCATGTCCAACAAGTTTAGGGAAGCTTTTAAGGTAAAAACAGTATATTGTTTAACGAACAAGGAATGGTATTAATTTCCTACGAGCTATATATACAGGGTGTCCCGAAATTAGACGGTCATATTTTAACAGCGTAATCTACATTCTAAAATAGGAATAAAAGTTTTTATAAACATAGGTCCGAAAACGTTTCGTTTTCGAGATACAGGGTGTTACAAGTGAAGTCCTGATGGCACATTTTTGTAAATATTTTCTAAAATTTCTTTAGTCGCCGGTTTTCCAAAGTAAAAAAAAAATCAAATTTCTGATTTCACAGGCCTACTAATTATTGTTTACACTTTTGAATAACTTATCATGAAATTTTTAAATGTTTTTTTCTTGAAAATGGTGCGTCCTAGCGAGATGCAACAATAGTAGCTTTATTATAAAGAAAACATTAATTTTCCAAATTTTATTGTCAAAAATGTTAAAACACAGAAAAACAGGGCAATTTTACCCTAATTTACCCACCTATGAAGATGATCAAAAACTGGGATTTAATCCGTTAAATAGAGCGTAAAAAGGTTAGCATTTGTACTAAATTTCACTTAGTTATCTTAAAACGTTTAGAAAATATTTACAAAAGAGTGTCTTCAGGACTTCACACCCTGTATCTCGAAAAAGAAACGTTTTCGGACCTATCTTTATATAAACTTTTACTCCTATTTTAGGATGTAGATTATGCTGTTAAAATATGACCGTCTAATTTCGGGACATCCTGCATTTACAGCATGATCCGCAGAGGTTTATTATGCAGGGTGTTTCATTGAGATAGGAAAGGGGATCACAAAAATCCATATAGTATGGGTCTTGCGACCTTTATAACCGAGTTACAGGGTGCTTTTTGAATTTTGCCCATTTCTTCCGCGCCTCATAATTTTTGAATCACTCAGTATATTTTTTTGATATTTGGCATGTTTTCTACACCTATATCGACACATTAAAAAATTCGAAAATCCAGGTCCGGCATAACAAAAAAACTATTAAAATTTGTCCCACCCTAAAACAACACCCTATACATCAAATTTTTGTTCAAATAAAATTAAATTTTCCTGCATAAATTTTTTGAAAACCTTATATTTTTCATAATAATTAAGATATCAAAGTAAATAAAGAAACAAAATGTTTAAAAAGTTTAAGCTGGTATTTGGTATCCGAAAATGTTTTTAGTTCTTTTTTCTTCACTGTACAGGGTGTTTCAAAAATAAATAAAAATCTAAAATTTATCCATACCCCGTTTATGGTATAATGACAAGCCAACAATTTTCCTAAAGAATCAAGCAACATCAAGCTAAAGTTTTCGAGTGAAAACTTTTGGGGAAAAATTATGTTAAATTTATAAGGCCAAATATTTGCCCTTTTTCCTAAATTTGCCGGTGTGCGTATCTCTCCAATATTTAAGTTAATTAAAAAAAGTTACTTGAAAAGTGTGCTTGTTTTATGAAATTATAAGTCCTTTTAAAAAAGATTCAATTCATGAAAAAAAAAAACGTTTCCAAATTACTTTTCGGATTTAATAATAAAATTCTTCGTTGTATACAAATACGAAAACGTTATTTATCCATTCACTGAACTTTCTTTTCGTGTTACCTGAAGCTTTCCAGTAGCTGCTTCTGCGAAAGTGTGAAAACAAGCATAAATTATTATCGAAACTTACAAGACTCATTTCAAAAGATTTTCTCCTTCGAAGGCGCACAGATTTTGAGGTTTCAACTTATACATGCAATTCCGAATACTGAATAAAATAAAACGGGTGTTTTGGTGTTTTCTTTTAACCGACAGAGACGGTTTCGCGTAATTCAGTTCGTGTCAAATTAGCAACATAAAATTTTTCTGTATGAACAGAAATAAGTGCAGTGAAATAAAATTATTATTAAATTGCAACGGTGAAAAATAAACAAATATAACGTAGGTATTGTTGTATTAAACAATAAGTCAACTAAAATAAATGAGAACAAGATATTGTCTAAGCCATGTGCCACATAATAAAAAAGGAACCATTTCTCTTCATAAAACAACTCTTTGGCTAATACAGCAACATGCATTAACTTATATCAAAAAGATATTAGCAGATATAGAAAATTTATTTCAATACTCTAACTTTGATTTTAAGAAGAGCGTCATTCTTGAACTGGTTTCTTCCTTATTAGGATTATCATCTTCATCTGAGAATAGGAGGAGAGGTTTGTAAGTATAATTATGAAGAAATAACCCGAAACTTTTAAATTAACTCTGATATGCCAAAAATAGTAATATTATAATTTTACTGCTTAACGTTTCTAAAGGTTTATTCAATATTAATTCAGGCCCACGCCTAGCACTTTAAAGGTTAATATAATATCCAGGTATTAGGTATTGTTATTAATATTTAAGCTAAGTGAATTGAGCTTTTCGTTCTTTAATTTTTGTAAATTGTTTAATTAAGAGCGTTCTATCGTTGCAAAGAAAATCGTAGTTGCATCGCCCCTCCACTTTCAGACTGAATCGAAGGGCTGGTCCGTTCCCGTACTGCTGAGGACCATCTACGACATGAATAATGTCTCATCATTCTGTCTAGGGTAGCAATTTCTCTGTTACTTGTGTTAGTGCGTACATCGCGTACAAATCGTATGCTCATAGACCGTGAACCTGAGGCAGAAGCCATAATCGTAGAACATTTTTAATGTGAAAGGTTTATTGATATTATTTAAACTTAAAAATAATTTAGTTTTATTCGCGAAGACTGTCGCCGACAAGTAACCGATTTAAATATCCAACTTTGTTTTGTAAGAAAAGAGAAAAATTGCAATTGCATTGATGTACATATTTTTTTTGTGAAAAAAACTCCAAAAGGGGCGTTTATTGATATTAAAATCTGATCAAGAGTTGATCAATGAGTAATTTTATTATAACCTAACTTAACTAGGGTTGCAATCTTAAAAACTAAAGTTCTACTCGCTAGTATACCTAAGGTCTGATAACTTAATTACACTAAACTAACGTGTAACACTAAACCGCACAATATGCTTTGCTTTGTTATTAACACAATCACTTGGCTAACTCAAAAGGTTTCACTCTCTTGAGTCTTCTTGTCAGGTTCGTGTTGTCAAGAAGCTGGACCGTCTTAACGTTCACATGTTGGTGGAGCCGTTGTTCGTGACTCCTAGCGAATCTGGTGATAGTCTGGTCAACAGTGTCCATCTGAAGATCTCGATGAAGGTCGCTGTTTCTAATGTACCAAGGAGCATCGACAATTTTCCTCAATACTTTGTTCTGGAATCTCTGGATTATTAGAATATTACTGTAGCTGGCACAACCCCAAAGCTGAATGCCATAGGTCCAAATTGGTTTGACAACTTCTTTATATAATAGAATTTTGTTATATGTAGATAAGCTGGAATGCCTACCAAGTAACCAGTATATTTTCTTGAAATTTATTTCTAACTCTTGTCTTTTTTTTTTAACATGGACCATCCAGCGAAGTTGGCCATTTTTGTTAGTAAAATTAATATTAATAGATTTGGTTTCGTTTAGTATAATTCGCCATCTTTTGGTCCATTTATTTATTTGATTAACTGATGTTTGTAGTTTATTTGCAGCCTCTTCATGATCTTTGCCTATCGCTAGGATGGCAGTATCATCTGCAAATGTAGCTATTGTGTCTTGTTCTAGTTGGGGTATGTCACAAGTGTATAACAGATACAAAGTGGGTCCCAGGACGCTTCCCTGTGGTACTCCTGCTTTAATTTCTTTCAAATCAGAGTATGCTTCATCTTGTTTTACTCTAAAGAATCTATCTGAAATGTATGAATCCAATAGCTCTGAGTATGGCTGTGGAAGTAGCACATTCAGTTTATGTTTTAAGCCATCATGCCATACTTTATCAAAAGCCTGCGCAACATCGAAGAAGATAGCTCAACAGACTTCTTTGTTTTCTAATGCTTTTTTCAGTAGCATTTGAGATTCTATGAACCTAATCTATAGTTGAATGGTTTTCTCTAAAGCCGAACTGGTAATCTGATATAAGTTTTCTTTCTTCAGTGATGGTTTTCAGTCTTTTTATTAGTATTTTTTCAAATAGTTTTGATATTATAGGCAATAGAGATATTGGCCTATATGACGAAACTTCGTTTGGAGGTTTTCCTGGTTTGAGGATCATAATGACTTCAACTACTTTCCACAATCTAGGGACATACCTTAGTTTAAATGAGGCATTAAACAGGTGTGTAAGTTTAATTATGACTTTCTTCGGAAGTTGTTTTTAAGACTTCTCCTGTAATTAAATCATAGCCAGGAGCTTTCTTAGGATTATTATTTGTTTCTATATCTTCTGCAATTTCCTTTGGATAGGTTGGTCTGATAATTGAGTCATCTCTCACTAGAGGAGCCCAGTTCGGTAATTCTTCTCCCTCATTTGGTTTGAAGTGTTTTTTAAGTGTTTTGCGAATCTATTAACTTTTTATATATTATTTCTAGCCCAGCTACCATCTGTATTCCTGATTGGAGCATTCTGCACAGTGGGTCTTTTAATCGCTTTGTGGCTTTCCATAGAGAATAATCAGTGGATTTATCGTTTGTCAACTCACTAAGGTACTCACAAATAGATCAAATTCGTTTTATCTCTTTTTAACTGCTGGGTGGCGTTGTTAAGTTTGGTTTTATCTGATGAAGCTCTGGTCTGAATGCCATGCCCTCCTTAGTTTTCTTTTTGCAATTGATGTACATATATAGCAGAAACAAAAATTGTAGTTTTTAATTGTTGTTTAATTTATTATTTGGACATTCCGTTTTATAATTTATTGTATTGTTCCGTTATCATATGGAAAGTAAAAAAAATAATAAAAGTTTTATCCTCTATGCCTTAGGGCATGTCTAGGCGAAATTAAAAAGTGGCTTATATTTGGAATTTTAATTAGTATTTAATTTAATTTCAGTTACCTAATTTTTCTGGTTCATACAATATTCTAGATACAATTTGAGTTCCATTTAAAAAAATATGTAAGTAGGCATACAAG